AAAATAATTTTAAATTAAATATTAATAAATTATTAAATTATAAATTTGATATTATGAATAATGAAAATGTCTAAAAATGTCTAAAAACGTTTAGAAAAATGGAATACATTCGGAAAAATATAATTATGTCTGGAAAATGTCCGGAAAACAGGATTATGTCCGGAAATTATCCAATTTTGCATTCTAAAGAAATCGAACATTGAAATTCCAGACAACGACATTTTCCGAACAAAATGAATGTCCGAAAACCACCAAGATTTGGAACATATTCTGAACAATGGAAATGTTCGGAATTTGTACATTATTATTTCAATACATTTTCCTGTTAAATTTCAGACATTCTTTTTTTGTTTTTTTAACATTCAATACGAACTTATACAAGGGTTGTTTATTTAATTTTTGAGCAGCGTTAACGCGTAAAAGAAAATGAGGAGGGGTTTTTTTTAAATCAAATAATTACTTTTATTTAGGCGTACTATATTTAAAAACTTTTAATTTTTTTAATTATTCACTTGTATTATTAACATCAATAATAATAAAGATAAAATAAAGAATAATTTGATTTTTTATTCATTATAATTTTAATTATTGTATATGTCTTATGTGAGCACCGATCCTTTTTCATGAATATTATTGATTACTTTTAAATCAAAATAAATTAATTTCGTTTACTTATTATTAAATACGCAAATTCCATTCACTTATTATTAGAATACACAAAGTTTAATTACTTTATTATTGAATGAACAAATTTTGATCACTTTATAATAAAGTAATCGTATCATTTACAATATTTAGGTTATAACTTTGTGAATAGGTACCAAGTTTAATTATAATATTGTTATTAATGCAAGATAAAGGATTTCGGGTATTAGTACTAGATAAATGCTTTCGATTTTTGCTATAAGAAGTAATCATTGGGAAATTTGACTTGAATTTTGAATATTGTGTGTTGCAGAAGCTTGAGTTTGAGATTGAGCTATAAGAATTTGGATTTCTTGAACAGTAGATATAGGCGAATCATTATATACAACAACTTTTATTAAATCTTTCAACAACTCGAAACCACTTTGCAGTATTTTTTCAGTATTTGAAACTAGCGATGCTTATTGATTTCCTCCTGTGTTGGAAGTTGAGAGGCTTTTGTAAAGTTCATAATTTCTTTATAAAGTTTTTTGAAAACAGTGGAAGAATTTAAAAAGTTTGCGAAAAAAAGCGAGAGAAAAAGCGTTTAAGTGATCAATAATATTTATATAAAAAAGGATCGGTGTTTTCGTCATACATATTCAATAACCTTGTAGTATTCCTAGCGTGTAATCAATTATCATCCATAACAATTACTTATTATCCGTAGCGAAGGACTTCTATGTCACTAACTTTATTTATGAAACTCAAGTGTTATTCCGTTTCTTCAGACAATAATATAAAACTTTAGTTTATATTTTAAATTAAAGAAATTATTTTTTTTAATAGAAAAATATACTTGAATCAAATATTCAAATAAGTTTTTTATTATTATAACGTTAAAAATTAGTTAAAGAATTGTTGTGTAACAGAAATTTTAAATGTACATATATGAAAAATCGTTTAGGATTGGGGAAAATAGGATTGGATATAGTTAGTATAAAAAAAAATTTTATTCTAAAAATTCCATTTGGGGTGTGAATGAAACTAATTTTTTTTTTTTTTTTTTTCTTTGCCCGAAACATGTTTTGTATCACTTTATAATCCATTTGGTCTAGATTTTTTACTTCGCATATGAAAAAAAAAAACAGGAAATGTATGTTAGTGTAACTGTTTCTAAAGTAAGTTTAGCTGATATTCTAAAATAAAAAATTTATATTCTCATATTTTAAATCGAAGCGCCAAAATTTTTTTCTTTTAACATCAGAATAAAGTGTTTTTTTATTTATTAGACAAATCAAGATTTCATCACGTTCACAACTTATTTGTTGTCTATTATGCCCGATTTCTTTCATCAATTTATATAAAAAAAATTGTGAAATCTAAAAAATTTTTTATAAAAACCGAGCAAAATTCTCGTCAAAAAAAAATTTCTTAGAAATCCCATATTTTCATTTATTAATATATATAAGTTGAAAATAATTTTACAATGTATCAAGATAATTTTTCAACAGACAATTGTGAAAAACACGACAGTTTTGGAATCCAGTCAGGACTATCGCCATCGAATATTCTTTGCCGTGTAAACGCTGACTTTTCCGCGACAAGTGATAATAATTACGCAGCATCTTACACAATTGCGCCAACCATAACTAATAATGACAAACAGTATTATTCTATGACCTCTTTAGAATCAACATCTCACACTTCACAATTTATCGGTTATAATGCTAATGATCATTTAGAACCGAATATACCAACGTCTAATCCAAGCATCTTTCCTCCACTTATTAGACCCCCAATTAATTCACCTAGCATGACTCATGCTAGCTCTCCTCAAATTCAAACGGTTGAATTTCCAGGTTTTAA